CACATTTCCTGCAAGGTCTCCATAGTCATGCACGGTAAGTGTTCACCGCTTTTTTGGCCTTCCTTCCTTCGGTGCACCACACTGCACCGCATGGATTGCACCGTGTCTTTATGTGTCAGCGCATTACTCAAACATACTAAGCCACACTACGTCGGACTCGTGCCGTCCAGCCGGGGGACTACGGCCCCCTCGCGGGCGAAGCAGCCCGCGTCTAGTCTGTCCGTCCGTCCGTCCGGGTGGCCGCTTGCTGTTTTCGCGTTTTTTGGGGTGTCGTCCGCGGTTTCGGAGCCGCGCCTTTTAGGCTAGCTCCGTCGCCGCGTGGGAGCCGCGGTCGCCGGTTCGCGCCCCGCCGTCGCCGCTTTTTTCGTCTTCTTCCTTCGTTCGGTTCGGCGCCCCGCACCGCACCGCACCACACCTGGGCCCGCGGAAGGCCGGGTCATGGCCGTGTGCCGCTTCGTCGGGCCCGCTAGCTCCGATGTCTTGTGGGAGCCGCGGTCGCCGGTTCGACCCCGGCGCCGGCGCGTCGATGTGTCCTTTTTTTTACGTTTACGTTGCGGCTCGCTGGCTTCCTCGCCCGGCGCCCGCACGTTTTTTTCTTCTATTTTTCGTTCGGGACCGCTCCGCACCGTCTAGTCTGCACCGCGCCGCACCGCGCCCACACCGCACACACACCGCACCGCACCGCACCCGTTACATATTCGCTGCGGCGACCTCGTGCGTATACATCCTTTTATTACCGCGAAATCTCAGCTATCCGCGTCTTTACCGGCTTCCGTTTCTGCTTCGGTTTCACTGGACCCGGCCGCAATCACGCGAATTGGCAGCAATCCGCATCATCACCTAAGCACGTCTGTCTTTGCTGTATAACTCTACTCCTGTTTCGGAGTCGTTAAAGGTCACCGCAATCGCGCGAGTTGGCGACGTTCTGCGTCCGACGTTGAGCTTCGGTTTCGCTAGACGCGGCCACAATCACGCGAATTGGCACCAATCCGCATTATCGCCTGACCACGCCTGTCTTCGCTGTATAACTCTACTCCTGTTTCGGAGTCGTTCAAGGCCACCGCAATCACGCGACCTGGCAGCTGGACCAGGCTCGCAGCCGCGGCGCGTGCGCGTCCAATGTCCGCGTCTGCCGATCCTCGGACATCTGTCATCTATACGACACGCTGCCGCGGATGTATAATTGTTAGCGCGCCGATTCCTCCCCACTTATCCTGCACTTACCTCTTTGCAAGCCTGCTTACTCCAAGTGCCTCCACCGTTTTCAGACATACCTGTTTTCAGACATACGCTCGCAGCCGGATGGATTCGCCGGACCCCAAGCGACAACGCCTAGAGCCTACATCGTCCTACAATCTCGCAATGTCGCACCCTGGTGACCAGCAGGTCGGTTTGCGTTGCTCTAGTGCGTAAATACGCTGTTCGCATCCTTTGCGTTGCTGCGTCCCATGTTTTGCGTTATGCGTTATGCGTTATGCGAACATATGCGACACCTTGTTATGCGTTATGCGAACCTTATCCGATCCCATCTCCTGACTTTCTACACCTTCGACCAACTCCCGCAGTAGTATCGACCCACCGGACGCCAAGCGTCAGAGGCTGGACACGGCTGCGTCCCAGAGCAGCACGTCGACGGTCGGCCCTCCCGCCGTCGCCACGTAAGCGAGCTGCTACATGCAAAGAGCGTGTTCACACCAGTAAGGTACTTACGCTCCGCCTCTCACCGTGCGAAATAGACGCATCTATCAGCTCCGGCGCGCATATTTGGCCGCTGCCTGTTAAGCACAGATGTCTTCCGTCACGTTCATCGCCGCTCGCGTGCACCTTGAATATCGTGTAACGCTCCACATTTGACGCCCCTTTGCAACACGTAGGGATTCAAGGAGCGTCACGTTTCATGTGACGTTTACGGCCGGCCCCACAGAAACGAATGAGGACCGCCTCTTTGCCGGCGCCCAGAGCCGCTACGGCAGCTTCATCGCTGGCGTGAATACCGCCGGCCAGGGGATAGTAATTATGCAGATTGACGATGTCATCCTCGGCAGGCTGGAGAGCAGCCACGCGTTCGGCCACCGCGTGACGTTCGCCAACGTGGATGCAGCTTCCCTGCCGCCTTTCATAACTTCTCGTTTCGCTGGGGTGACGGTGGGGCAGTTTAAAGTCTCCTCAGCGACGCGGATTTCCGTGGAGCCCTCCTCCGCTGTCCCAATGCTCTACAGCGCCAGGCTTCGGTTCCCCGTTTACGATGTCGGCAGCGACAGGGCCCGCCCCGAAGACAAGCACGCGTCGGATGGCAGCGCCCTCCTGCTCATCCCACACGGCGGGATGTTCCGGGGCGGGCCGTTCCGCAAGTTTAAGGCGTGGGTCGCGTGCGGCAACGGTGACAGTCCCGACGCCGGACGCGTGGAGCTCGCCATCAGGGAATCCGCTCCCGACGACTTCGTCGCTCAGCTACAAGCAGCGGCCGATAGCAGCAACTCCCCTTTACGTGTATGGTGCCAAGATCAGCCCCTCCAATAGCAAAGCTTATATGAATAGCGTCTTCCTCAGCGGCTCGCTTGTAGCAGCAGCGAGTGCCCCCGGCAAACGCCCTCCCAAACGAGTGCACACCTTCCAGGCGGCTGTTCAGCGGACTACCGCGGCCACCGTGCCCACCGACACGACTGATATGGTATTGGCTTGGGAGCAGCGTAGCCGCAGTGCCCTTGTTTTACCGTCGGATGGTCCACACGCCTCGGCCACCCTGTCACCCAACCCCACTTCTGTCACTGTAGTCGGCTCACTACCGGTCCTCCCGCTCGTCCTCACAATCGGCAGCCGCAGTTATCCGGTGTGCACCGACAGCATCGCCGTCATGCAACAGTTGCCGAACTACGACGAGTTCTTCGGCAGCGCCAGCTTCGCAGACGATAATGATCGTATGGCGTACACTGCTTACGACTCGTTCACCGTCACCGGTACCATCACCACCAAGACAGAAGGTCGAACAACGTTCATCACGGCTCTGCAGGAATGACTCGTTCTTGCGTGTTCATCCACTTGCGCTGCCGTCCGCTGCACGTCGTCCAACTTCGCTATGGCTTGCACCTGTCCCCTCCCTTCACTTCCATCTAGCCGCCCCTGGATGGCGTTAAATGCCAGCGTTGAGCGGCTGTCTAGCCGCGCAACGACACGCTTGCAGGGCTGGGTGCATTCCGTGCACTTGTGGGTTCGACTCCCACACAAGTTGGCGGCGTCCCTCGCATCTACACTGGTGAGTGTATGAACGGTATGACCGGTTTCGCTGGTATAAGTTAGGGTGTTGACGCACGAATGCTGTACCGGTTTGACATTCGTGCGTGTCTCATTCGTATCCACCTCTTGCCGCTTCCCCGCTCTCCCTGAAGCATGCTCTGTTGTGCGTGTCCCACTCGCGTATATGATGGTTGGACATAACGAATTGCCCCGATTACCGGGCTTGTCTTCACCCGACCTTTGCGCTGTCGTGCAGGTTTGCATGTGTTGAAGCTGCTGCTCCGGCAAGCCTTCGTGCTGTTCTCTTCGCTGTCCTCCGTTAGGCGCGGTAAGTGTGCATTATGACGCAATGCACATATGTGCGTGTCGGCACGTTAGTGCTTGTCCGTCGCACGAGAACGTGCCAGCAAGTGTACGACATACGTTGTTTTGCATGACCTCGTTTTGTGTCGGTTTTCGTTTTTATTTACGTACATCCTTTACTACGACATAGCGACTCGCCGTTGTGACGGTGTCCACGCATACGTGTGCACGATGTCCGCGGAATCACGTCATGTTAATATGTGTACGACAACTTTGGTGTCGTTTCTTTTTATGCACGCGCAAACTATTTTATGTCAGTTCTCCTTGTACATGTTTTGTGTAGAACTGTTTATTTTAGATGTATGTATATTGCGTGTCAAAGCAAGTGCTTAACGGCCGCGATAATTAGTCTGTATTACCGGTGTTCATCTTGCTGCTTATTATTTCTCTTGCTTTTTCGACATAGCGAGTTTTCGCGATATCCGGCCCTGCTTCTGCACAACCGTCACGCATCGTCGCTGCAATGCGTTGCATATTTGCGTGTATCGTGGTTCCTGGTGCCGAGCATTTCCATGCCGCGCTTTTCCTGCGAGGTCTCCATCGCGCGCGCTAAGTGTGCGATGAGTTGGCGTCCGTATGTGTCGG